TGAGTGCATGCACATGTGTGCACGTGACTGAATAAACTGAGGTCACCTGTGAGGGTCACCAGAATGCCGAAGGATAGGGGACGATGGCACAGTTGTTATCGCTTAGCCAGAAGCAGCTTCGAGGTCAAGTCTCGGGGGGAGGGGGCGCCAGTGAAAGAAAGCATTGGAAAAGTTGTTTGTGATGACGGATGACTTTGGTGCATTGGGCCTTGGAGAAAGAATGGGGAACAGGCATTGTGGCCGTCCGCTACAGATAGCAGCAACTTAGGTCTGATTAATCATGTCCACCTATGTCCTTTTGTCACCGGATAGGTCCTCAGCAGTGAATTTGTACTTGGCGTCCCAGTTTTAAAGAACAAATGTGGCTAAACCCACTATCCCTTCTAGTTATAACTATTCCACACCTGAGTGAACCTTTTACTTGGTCTCAAAAAGACAATATCAACCAGGGCTGATTTTCTGTGAGATGACCTTTCTACACAGCTACACCTACAGTTGGAGTCAGAGCGCAAGAAATGAGGCCCAAGGCAAAGGCGGTGTGGCACAAGTGATTTCTGTTGACGATCGGTGCACGCTCATCAACAAGGAGGTGTTCTTGTTATCCGCACTATGGGTAGCACTCCCGCTTGATGCCACCTGTTTCTTCGGAACAGAAGCTCAGCAGTTTATTAATCCGTTCTGTTATCTTCAAATTCACTTGTCTTGCGGTAGTACGCCATGACACAGTTCTCCTGATACTTAAGGTGGCTTATAAATAACTAATTCTTAAATATTCATATTAGCGAAATACTGTATTGGAGTTCGTTCAGAACTTGTGGCGTCCAAAATGTGGGTGGTTAACAAGTGTTCCATTTAGCATCCTCAGCAAATGCGGTGGGATTTGTTCCTTAGGAGAGATCAAGTTCAGGCTGTGTAATCTTTTGAGCTGCGACCTATTACCACATTCCGCGACGGGTTCTCACGAGAATGCATCAGCATGAACTTGCCGTGCAACCGAATGACAAGCTTTCTTTGGTAGCCGCCCACGCATCCATGCCAGCGCACGGCTTCGATTTCGAACACGTGCGAATACTAGGTCAGTCGGACGACGAATCTCACGCCTCTTGCAGGAGGCATGGCACTCGCACGCGGATTCAATTAGCAGGCATACCGATCTTCCTGATGCCTATCTCGCGTTGCGCTAAAAAAATCAATAGCAGAGCTGAAGGTCATTCGCGACAGATTTGAGCTAAATACACGGTGAGCTGTACATTTTTATTCATTGACAATGAGCTCGCGTGAGAGTTCGAAACGTCAGGCAAATAAAATACTGGTCCCACAGAACGTCTTCCCGTCTTCTATTCAATTACCTGGGCCTCGCATATTTCCGATCATTCAGAATGCATGAATGTGTGTACTTGAAAAGAGTGCGCTGTTTTTCTTCAACTACACTGTTGTTTTCAGTTAGTCGTTCGGATTGCTGTTCACTCGGACGCCTGAGCGTTCATCCAGTTTTATCCATCTACTGCCATTGTATATGCAGAGCCACTGTCACTCAAAGACAGAAATATATTCGTTTTCTCAGCATGGTCCACCCTTTTCATCATGAAAGTGTCGTTAAGATTACTTTACCAGGATTTGACCTTGGTTTAATTTTAGAGTAAGACAAATACATTTGCGCTAAATTCCAGAAAAATAAGGATATCTGTTAATTTGAGATGGGAATATAGACCCTACCGGAGCTCAGCGGAAGGTCGCTTTTCATAGTGTTTTTGTAGTTCACCACTCAGCTAAAAGCTGGTATGGAGACAATAACATAGAAAGCCGATTAGCGGTTAAACTTCAAATGTAGTACTACTAATGGTTGACTTTCTTCATACTTTCACCTATTACGGAAATGATTCAGGACATGCTGACGGATATTTCCCTAACATGCCTTTGATAAGTTCAAGAAAGTGTCAAGCCAAGCTGGCGATGATCTGTAGGTGAATTTATGATCTGTGAATCTATAGTTGAGCCCACAGAGGACCCATATGATTAATCTGTGTCAGTTTGCTGTCCGTTAGAGGCGTTTGAGACTTTTCAGTTCGCAGTCTACCAATTAACTCACAAAGATCGAGGGATCGTGCCATCAGTGTTTGTGAAATGTTATCATGCCATCCCTTGTCCACGTAAGGTTGCTAAATCAATTCCGGCGTGTTTTAACGTAAGCCAAAAGTGGCCTGACGCGGAATTCCAGCTAAGGTGCTTTATAAGAATTTTTGGGATATCCTTGTCATCA